AAAGGGAGGTAAAAGGGAGGAAGCAAAAGGGGGAAGAAATAAAAGCCCAGGGGTAGTAAAGAGTATAGGATGGATAGACCTGGTAAATTATAATCTGATACACGTTAAGGTGATGTAGACGGAGAGAGAGAGAGAGAGAGAGAGAGAGAGAGAGAGAGAGAGAGAGAGAGAGAGAGAGAGAGAGAGAGAGAGAGAGAGAGAGAGAGAGAGAGAGAGAGAGAGAGAGGGGGGGGGGGGGGGGAATGGATTTATAATAATAATATATTACATGAAGCATGTCTAATGCAGTGCAGGCCCCTTGTCTAGCCCAGGAGCCTGCCTGCTGCGACCGAGGCCTTCGCCGGCAAGCGAGCGCCTCTGCGCGAAGAGTCCGGCGGATCAGCTGATCTGACAGATCCAAAATGGCGGACGGAGGCCTCTTCCACGCTCAAGCTTTCTTGGTCGATGAGCTCCTGGAGGACGAAATGATGGCAGCTGCAGCCGTGATTGCAGACAGAAACGAGTTTTTAAGAAACAGAGAAGCACTGCAACGCCGGAAGAAGCCACAGAAGCAGCCGGCGCTGACGGTCGACTACGTAGAGGTGGTCGTTCCTGGATACTCGGATGCAGTTTTCAAGTCACATTTTCGCATGCAGAGAACATCTTTTGAGGTGAGTGACGGTTTTAATACAAGCATTTGGAGCATGACATGAATTTAGCTTGAAGTTTATGCGCGGGCAGTTATTTATGTACGCAATGACAATTAAGTTCTACATCAATCGTTATTGTTGTTAGAAAAATTGCCCGCCAAAAGATAGCGAGAAACTAAAGTTGCCGTGATCTTGAAACATTAAAATTATGCTTGACTGTCCCAAAATATCGCCATTGATTTATCACGTGACAACCTGTCAATATTTCATAAATGTCTCCCTATGACATCCTGTGCAATTCGTCCATTCTTAAATTGAATTCTCTTGTTGGTTTAATTGAGCTCAAATCGTGTCGTTGGTGAATGGTTATGAATGCGAGAGGATAGTAATGCAAAGGGAAAAACATGATTGATATGAATAACCTTTCTTTACCATTTATTGTTAATTGGAAATGTAAATGGGACTGGGCCACACCCTCTGCTTTGTTAAAAATTTTCCAACTTCACAGGGGAGACACAGTCTTTCACTCCTGCATGAGTAACTGAGAAAAAGGAAAATTTTCAATGAATCAACTATTGAAGAAAAAAAGGATTTTAGCTAAATATTTGTATATTTAGTAAACATTTTGTTTTAGCTTTACCACTGCATACAACTGCACTTTGGATAACAAATTAACTTTGTAATATCTGGTGAAAACCATACTTTTGGGAATATTTAAGTGATGAAATTAAACATTCAAAAGCATGCTGTTTCTGAGGAATAAATCCAACAAAACTTCAGGTGAAATAAGGGAGTTTAAACAAATGGCATGTCATTTTCCTTTTTTCCAAGTCTTTGATGGATGGGAATAAGTTTACGGAATGTAAATTATCATCATCATTATAAAGAAAGCAGCCATTTTTAATCCCCGTACATAACCAAACTTCAGTATCAGGAGGAAACTACATATTTGTAAATGAAAAAATGTAAAGATTTGTCTTTTAAGTGTGATGCTTAAGAGTCATATCTTTGAAATTAGTTTGCATTGCTAGAAGTACGTAGCTTTAGATATTTTTTAATAATCTGTTGTTTGCTTTAATTAGTCTACCAAAAAGTTCTGCGCCCTGAAGATGTCTAATGTATTTTTTTATTTAAGATTTACTGAGGTTGTGTTCAATATAGAGATAATATTTAACTAAAGGGCCTGACCACTGAAATAACCAGATTATCATTATTATAGTGTCTTGGTATCAACTACTATAGACGGATTTTAATGTGCTCTCCCTCCATCATCACCTTTTTCCTGTGATCTCGTCTAGCTGTTTTCCATCTGACATACCCAGTTTCTCCATCGTCCAGTCTAACAGCCTCAATCTTTGTCTTCATCATTCCCTTTCCCCAGCCGTTTTGGCTTCCATGATCTTCTTTTCTATCCCTTCTTATCTCTTTAACTCATTCCTAATGAAATCCCATTACCTTTTCCTGTTGGTATTCAAATAGTTGCCTTTTCATTCCTACCTCGTCCAAACCTTCTTCAGTAGCCATTATTTCTACCATGGTATCCTCATCATTTTTCTCCAAAATTACATTTCCGCTGCTCCAAGCCTTTTCTCCCTGTTCTTGCTTACCATCCATGACTCACATCCATACAATAACACAAGTAACACTAAGAAACGCTTTCTAATTCCCATTCTGATATTTCTTGTACACAATACATACCTTATATCTATAAATGCTTTCTTAGCTTGACTAATTTTACATTTGATATTCATATCTGACCTCCAATTTGATGGTATCCACCTGCCTAAGTATTTGAATCTATCCACTGCGTCAGTTTGCTCCCTGCTCACTGGCATATGACATTCCAGGTACATTTCATTATTATTATAATTATTTTTTTTTTTCATGCATAATATCTCATAGAATTTCACTAGTTGCCATTGAGAGGAGAGTTCCATTTGAAATGAATGTAGTGTTGTAGGAGCAAAACCAAAACAGTAGTTTTTATTTAAGAAAATACAGAAATCCAATCTTCATGGTATTTGAATGATATTTAAGTATCCTTAGTGTACAATTGCACAGACTGTTCTCATTTAGAGTGCAAATAGTACGGTAGGTATATTGTATCCTTCATGTGTAAAGATGAGTAAACAAAACTTACTGTGGGCATAGCATGTATGTGGCATTAGGTTCATTATACTAAGTAGAGTAAATTGCTTTTTTTATTACTATCAATGCCTATTTATTTATTTAATTATAACCAGTTATTAGTGTTGAGTGTGCTGTATTACGGGTTTAATTTTGAATGAATTGCTTGCCAAGAGATTTTGTTAATACGGAAAGTCTAATTTGAAATTTACAATATTTAACAATGTTACAATTGATTATCAGGTTCATTTGCAGTTGTTTGGCCGTGAAAAAAAAGTGAAAACAAAGGAAATATAGTAAACATATTTGCAGGTTACACC